TGTGTGTGTGTGTGTGTGTAATGAAGTAATGCATGTGATGATGATGCTAAGGCATAGGGAGAACTTCAGGGGTAACAACAAATGAATGAAATCAAGCAAAAAATGCCATGTGTGTTTTAGGAAAATGCTTGAATTCACCAAGTAGCAGAATCAGCAGACCAGGAAGGGCATTCCAAAGAAGTGAAGCAAGGGGCAACTATAGGTGCCCCTATGGTTGAATGGAGAAATTAGCAATCCTGTGGGCAGGAGGTCCAACAGCAACATCCCAAATAGGACGTCAGGACCCTCATCCGCCTATGAAGGGCCATTTCAGAGTCTTGAGTGACCTAAGAATCTAAAGGCTATTCTTTTTCTTGCTTAACAGTTGCAGAGCTCTCTTTGAACTGGCAGCCATGCAAGGTTGTACTTATATCATTTTGTTTTTCCCTAATGTTGCCACCTTGATCTGAATCTATATGCCTTGGAGTTATTAAAGTATGGGATGTCATGCCAGGATTGATCCATTTGCAGATAATACACTCATCTTTCAGGATTCCTTTGGCCTAGAATTCTATTAAAATTCAAGCATGAAGGATGAGTTGGAAAAAATTATGGCCTACAAGGAAATTTGCTGGCCAGGAGGGTAGACAAAGACATATACAACCAGCTGTAGGACAAGGTAGACTTCAGAGCTGTAATTGGAGTACAGGGAGTAACAAGAATAGAGGGAACAAGATTAATTATAACTTGAGGGCACTAGAATTTTGTTTTCTTACCTTTCTGTTTCTTTTCTTTATTCTCTCTTTTTTTTTTCCAATAGCTTAAATGTGGCTGCTCCAAAAATTTGCCCTTTTTTTCTTGTGTATTGAGTTAACTGGAAATCTTAACCATTCTGTTGGCTTCCCTTTTGCTCTGCCTTTTAAAAAAATTGTGTTAAATAGCATATGAGATCTACCCTTCTAAAAATTTTAATTGCATAATAAAGTTGTATTAATTATAAATATAATGTAATAGAGCAGATTTCTAGAGTATTTTCTTTTTGTATGACTAAAACTCTGTACCTATTGAACAGTAGCTCCCCATTTCCATCTTCTTCTAGCCTCTGGCAACTGACGTTCTACTTTCTGTTTCTAAAAGTTTGATTACTCTAAATACTTCATAGAATTAGAATCATATTGTATTTGTTATTTATTTATTTCGGTGCTGGGGATTAAACCTCATGTATGCTAGACAGGCACTCTACCCCTGAGCCACATCTATAGCTCCAGTGCATGTCTTTTTGTGTCTTACTTCTTTTACTTACTGTAATATCCTCAGAGTTCATTCATGTTGTCCCATATTGCAGAATTTCCATCTTTTTCATGGTTGAATAATATTTCATTGTATGTGTGTACAGTAGTTTATTTATCCATTTATGCTACAATGGACACATAGGCCATTTCTACTTATTAAATATTGTGAATAATGTTGCAGTGAGGATGGAAGAACAGAAGCCTTCCTGAGACTCTGATTTCAATTATTTGGATGAATATTCAGAAGTGGAATAACTGGATAATATGGTAGTTCTGTTTTAAAATTTTTTAATATTTTTTTTTAGTTATAGATGGACACAGTCAATCTCTCTCTCTCTCTCTCTCTCTCTCTCTCTCTCTCTCTCTCTCTCTCTCTTTATTGCGGTGTTGAGGATCAAACCCGGGGCTTTACATATGTGAGGCAAGTGCTCTACCACTGAGCTACAACCCCAGCCCTCCGTGTTTTTAATTTTCAAAGGAACTTATATACTGTTTTCCATTGCAGCTCTTCCATTTTATACTTCTGCTAACAGTGCACAAGGGAACTGCACACTCATTTCTTCTGCTGCTCTTCAGCCTGATTCTTCTGTCCTAGCAAATAAACTGCCTTCCACTCTCTTCTCATCACTCTGCACCTGCCACCTTTCTTTTGGTTTCTGAAACATATTCCCTAAAAGTCCAGGTCAGGTCAAAGTTCTCCATGCCTCCTTCCCTGACCACCTAGCTAGAATTACTTTTCTTCTGCTGAAGACCCATTGTGTCTGTTGCTTTTGGGACAACTGGCAGAGATTGTTGCTTTACACTGGAATGGATATTACATGTGTATGTTTTATGTTAACTGAACTGCCATCTCCTTAAGAGCAGAGATTGTGTGCCCCCACCTGTCAATCCCTCAGAGTATTTTACACAACACCTTTCCATACTGTAAAGAGGCCAGGAGTCCTAGGAAGGTGTGTGAGTGTGTGTTCTAGGTTTAGAAGACAGGAGCTGAACTTTAATCTTAGGATTGACACAGGTCAGTGTCAATCCTAAGAGAAAATGAGCTGGACAGGAACACAGATCAGTGACCAGGGCCCTTTAGTAAGTGGGGATTAGAATGGACAGGCAGGTTTACACAGGAAAGTCATGACTGTAACCTGAGATCTGCTCTGCTGGATTTTGGCAAGCAGGGTTGACAGGTGTTTGCTGGGAGCCAGAGAGAAGCTGTGTTAACCTCACAGTTCTGCAGGAAGTCAGAACAGCTGCTGAAAGCAGGGGCCGACCTAGCTGGCAGTCTGACCATCTCCAGTAATATCCTGTTCTGGAGAGTTCTTGTCTTCCAACCCAGTGTAAGGCAACAAAGTTGTCTGAGTGGTTAGTCCATGACTAATCTGTAGGTCATCTAGAAGCCCCCACGAAAGCTTTTAGGAGGCCAAGGTCCAATACAAGAAGGCCTCAGGGGAAAGCACTGAGTAGACACCTCATTTGGCTCTTGCACTAGTCCTTGTCTTTGTCCTTGTCCTCTCTGCCAGAGGTTCATAATATCCACAGAGCTCTTCCACCTAGTGACCATTATTACCTATTTTCATAGACTCCCACTCTAAGAACCTGCCCTTTACCCTGAGCTCCAGCATCCTGCTGTATCCTGATGAATCCATGCCAATTTCTGGGCCCTGTCTTACCTGGGAAGATTCCTGCCAGGTGACTGGTTATGGGACCTCATTTTGTACTTACGCAATGCCCCAGAGTAGGCAAAAACCTACCTCATGTGCATCTGGGGAAGCTTGAGAACCTGGCCTCACCTCTCCAGGGGGATGGGAAGTGAAGAGAGGTAGGTTGTCTGAGCTGCATGGTACCTCTCCTGCTCGATGTCCTTTTCAGCTTCTCCCTCACCCTTTCCCACTTCTCCAGCTGTTATTATCCTGGGGCAATGGTTCCTAAACCTGACAGATATGTAGAATTATCTGGAAAAAAGGAAGAAGTTCTTAGGCTGTATCCTCAGAGAGTCTCTTTAGGGCATGGGAATCTTGCATTTTTACATAAGATATACATGAAAGAACTGCAGAAGGATGGAAGAAGGACTTACTGAGTTGCTGAGTAATTATTTCTTTCTTTGTCCCCCTCTTCCTCCTGCTCCCTGGACTTTCTACAGTGATCGTATATTCTTTAGGAATCAGAGAAAGAATAGATGTCATTAAAAATAAAAATCAGGGGCTGAGGTTGTGGCTTAGCAGTAGAGTGCTTGCCTAGCACGTGCAAGGCCCTGGGTTTGATCCTCAGCACCCCATAAAACTAAATAAATAAAATAAAGATATTATGTCCAACTACAACTAAAAAAAAAAAAAGGGAAAGAAAGAAAGAAAACCAGGGGCTGGTGTTGTGGCTCAGTGGTAGAGCATTTGCCTCACAAATGTGAGGCACTGGGTTCGCTCTTCATTACCACATAAAAATAAAGATATTGCATCCATCTACAACTTAAAAAAAAAGAAAACCACATTTCATTCCAAAGTGATCTTACAGAAACTGCTAATCCTCTCAAATTTATTCCTTTTTTCCACAGGGGGACTTGATCTCATCTTCATGCCAGGTCTTGGGTTTGACAAACATGGCAACCGGCTGGGGAGGGGCAAAGGCTATTATGACACCTACCTGAAGCGCTGTCTGCAGTGTCAGGAAGTGAAACCCTACACCTTGGCCTTGGCTTTCAAAGAGCAGATTTGCCTGCAGGTCCCAGTGGATGAACATGACATGAAGGTAGATGAAGTTCTTTACGAAGACTCTTCACCATCTTAAGACCAGATGACTACAGCCAAATCGTCAGTGTTTTGTATCAGAGTTAGGAATATATGTATATTTTTTCCTGTGTCAAAAATTAATTGAAATTTCACATTAAATTGAATATGGACTTGGATAATTTTTAGTGTACATATGAAATACCTAATATTAAATTGTCTTTTGAAATCAATATAAATGTGAATACTAGAATATTGATTAAAATGGAGGCTATCACCATATGATTTTCAACATAATTTCCTGGTGTTAATGTGACAAGTTAATCTCTCGGTTTTGCAGTTTAAGTTAAATATTTATGAGGAACTGTGTTCTAACTCAGAGTGTGAGAGGAAGGTAAACACATGGTGGGTAGACACTGTATTTCATTTTGGCCTGTCATGGGCCTGGCCAGACATAGACTTGGAGCTTATTAATTGATTTGTCGGTGTTTGTTTTAGGTACCAAATTTCCTGATAATATTGTACTAATTCATCATGATTTCATTTACTCACTCTGAAATCTGATGTTTGGCACTTTGTAGTTGTTGGTGGTTAATGTATGAAAATTTTTGATGATTTAATATTTTTATATAACTGATTGGTCTCTCTTGCTGTTTTGTGTGTCACTTTAAGATCTAAGTTAGGAATTGTGTCTGTTTGCTCATGGGTTCTGTTTTGGAAAATGAAAGATGCTGTTAGCTGAAGGTTGGCAGATGGCCTCACAGCTAGACCGTGGTAATTTTGTTGGTGGGGGAGGATTTGGTTTTCACCAGAAAACCCAGGAGTCTTCCTGGACTCCACTCTCCTCTCATTTCCCACCTCCTGCCTGTCACCAGCTCCTGTTGATCTTGCCTCCAAAATGCGTCTTACATCTGCTGTCCTCTCCTTTGTCCTGCTGCTGCTTTTGTCCAGCCCCTCAGCATTTCTAAGTGGAATTAGGCAAGCATCTCATACCTGGCTTCTTTTCCTCCAATGTCTTTCAGAGTGGTATTATAAAACACAAATCTGATCATGAAGCACTTCTGATTGGAGTATTTTGGGGACTCTTCAGAGCCCTCTGGGTTTTGGTGATGTCTTCTATTGTGTACAACATCCCTTAGGAGAGGCTACCACCTTCCTTTTTCTAGTCTCTCGTCTTTACACCCCACATTCTCCTTCTATGCCACATATTGAGCATTACTGGCTGCTTCTGCCCTTTGTACTGAGTGAACTCTTTTGGCTGAAACACTCATTTTGTGCATCTGGACTGTGCTCCTGCTTTGCCTCTTCTGTGAAGTCTTCCTCTGCTTTCTCAGGCAGGTTTATGTTCCATTCCTTGTTTGAACAACCCTGGCTGTTCATCTTCTTGTCCTCTATAGCACTTATTAGTTTACATACTTCACAGAACTGTGAGTGCCAAAGACGTCCTACTTCATAGACAGTGAGACATAGAGTGGGTGTTTGAAAATATTTTTAATGAGTTAATTGAATATATTTAGATATATTTCACTTAAAACATAGATCCACCATTCTTTGGATTCATGATTCATGATTTGGATTCATATGTGATTTATTATTTCATGCACAAAAGTAGGAAAAATCCCAAACTTTAAAATGTCAATAGGCTAAAGATGGATCTGTACAGTTTAAGATGTACAATGCAAAATGGGAGAGAAATGTAATTCTTACAAGCTGTAAAGTCATATTGTTATACTGGTTAAAAACCTTAAATGTTACTTCAACTGTAAGGTTAAGGTGAATATTAATATGACTGATGTGACTATTGGTCTGAAATTCCCAAATTACTTCAGATCAGGTAAGTTTTGCCCAATCAACTCAGTGTATGTTATTCTTCTACCAAAAGACGGTGTTTAAAACCACTCAGCCAGCTTCTTAAGTACAGGTAGAACAGGTAGTCAACTGGCCAGAAGAAGCAGGGTGCTGAAATTCAAGAAAGCCAGGAGGCTTCAGGGTCTCCCATTTATAAAGAGAGCCATTTTCTAGTAACTAGTAATGCATGCAGTGGTTTTTATGCAGAGGGTATTAGAAGGGAGAACCCTTTCCTCCCATGATGCAGGTAAAAAGGACACTGTCACCTGATTAGGACATAAACAGAGGATGAGAACAAGACCTTTGACTCTAGGAGGTACAGGTCAACAAGAAGCAAGAATGATGAGGCTTTCAGGAAAGGGTCAATCCAGGTAGAAGGGAGAGAAATAGCAACTAGGACTGAACAGAAATAATTCTTAGTCTTGGGAATTGGAAACATCTCAGCCCCAAATAAGTTTGTGATATATATTCTGCAGAGTTGTGCTTACTTAGAAAATGAACTATATGAAGCTGTGGATAAGAACAATATATGTGGGGCTGGGGTTGTGGCTCAGCGGTAGAGCACTTGCCTCGCACGTGCAAGGCCCTGGGTTCCATCCTCAGCACTACATAAAAATAAATAAATAAATAAAATAAAGTAATTGTGTCTATCTACAACTGCAAAAAATAAATATTAAAAAAAGAACAATACATGTTTAATCACAATGGCCTTCTAAGAGATTGATAAATATGTTGAGGCATGGATGGCTTATTGCAGAAGCTTAGTTCCTGGCCTCAGTTGTTTTGTTTTTCTTTTAGAGATCATTGAATTCAGTTACTCTCATTGAATTTTTAAAATATTTTTTTAGTTGTCAATGGATCTTTATTTATTCTGCTGAGAATTGAAACATGCTGGGCAAGTGCTCTACCACTGAGCCACGACCCCAGTCACTCTCATTGCATTTTAATCTTTTTTTTGTGTGTGTGGTCTGGGGATTGAACCCAGGGGTGCTTAACCATTGAGTCATATCCCCAACCCTTTTTAATATTTTATTTAGAGATAGGGCCTTGCTAAGTTGTTCAGGCTGGCTTCAAACTTGCAATCCTTCTGCCTCAGCCTCTTCTAGTGCTGGGATTACAGGCATGGGGCACTGTGCCTGGCTAATATATATTTATATACTTTCTCCACTAGACTACAGCTCCTTAAAGACATCTTCCATGCCAAATTTGTTTTTGCTTCAGAACCTACCTCAGACCTCAGCACAATGAAATACCCAATAAATTCTTATTCTTTATTTTTTGTGGTACTGGGCATTGAACCCCATTGCAGGGTGCATTACTACTGAGCTACATCTCAAACCTTGATTTTTTATTTTGACACAGGATCTAAGTTTTAGAGGCTGGCCTTGAACTTGTGATCTTCCTCCCTCAGCTTTTTACATTGCTGGGATTATAGGCATTTGCCACCATGCCTGGCCCCAGTAAATTCAATGAAAGAATGAACCAGTTTGAATATTGCCCTCCATAAAAACCCAGTTTTTTTTTTCCTTCAGTCTCTGTGGTCACCAGTCCTAAATATATGTTTTCTTCTATGCTTAAAAATAAATAACAGATTTTTCTAAATAATAATGTGCATGTTATAAAACACACAAGAAGGATGAGATAAAGTTGAAATAGGATATATTAGATATAATTTATATTCATTTTTAAGAACAACATGATTTAAAAACTTATTTTTTATTTATTCCTTCTTTCTTCCCTTCCTCATTTCTCTCTCTTTCTTGCTTGCCTGCCTCTCTCCCTTCCTTTTTTCCTAGGGCCTTGTGCATGCTAGGCAAGTAATCTACCACTGAGCCACACATCCAATCCCCAAATTCTTTTTTTTGGTGCTAGGTATTGAACCCAGGGGCACTTATCCATTGAACCACATCTTCAGCCCTTTTTTGTATTTTATTTAGAGACAGGGTCTTGCTGAGTTGCTGAGGCTGGCTTTAATTTGGGATTCTTCTCACTTAGCCTCCCAAGCCACTGGGATTTCAGGCGTGTGCCACCGTGCCTGGCTCATTATTTTTTGAAAACCTTATTTTAACACATCTTTAATGACTCAGAAGTCTGGTTTTAATTTCAGTATTTGGTCTTAAAGGCTTTTTAGCTGAAAAAAGTACTTCCAGAGATAAGCAGATCCAGTTGGATATAGTGCTGTAGTTACTAAAATTTTTAATTTTATCTACTAATTTCACAGTGATATTTTAAATAGAAATATGACTAGTCAATATACATTTTCTTGATGTGGATCTGTCATTCTTACATATTAAAACGCCACCCATTTGCTTTGTTGACAGATGGATTCAACAAAAATTTTAAACCAAGTTAGAAAGATTTTAAACCAAGTTAGAAAAATTCTGCTTCCAATTTAGTTGTGTAGATATGAAAGCATTTATAGATGTCATGGTTTTTGGCAACATAATCATATAATGATGAAAACATTTTCATTTTTAGTATGCTCCCTCTTTGTCTGTCTTCCTTTCTTTCTTTTTCTTTCTTCTCTCCCTCCCTCCCTCCTTCCCTTCCTTCCTTCTTTCCTTTCACTGGGAATTGAACCCAGGTTCTCATGCATGCCAGGCAAGTGCTTTCTGAAAGTAGTTCACATCTGACTCATTGATGGTACATGACTTTTACCCTGAAGATTCAAATTAGATGCATTTTTTTTTAAATGTCTGCTTAGTTAGCAATTTACTGGTGGCCATTTGTAATCTCAGAAAAGTTAGAAAAATTGGTATCTTTGCTTTTGGGTTAAAAGTACAAGCAAAACTCATCTTCAAGTTTAACAGCTTTTTAAAAAGTATTTTATCTTGAGATAACCAGAGAAATTGCAGGTGAATCAAAATGTGTACTCATGTGTACTTCTTATTACATCACAAAGAGTTGTAAATTTTATATATATATATTTGCAGTGCTGGAGATTAAACCTGAGGCCCTGTGCTTGTGAGGCAAGCATTTTATCTCTAAAGCTACATCTCTAGCCCTCTATTATTTTTTAAAGATCCTAATTTTATAAAATTCACATCAGTGAAACCTATCACATGTGGGATATATCTTATCTGTGAATTATGTGGGATGCTATTACTAAATATTTAATGTAGAATTCACCACTTTACCTTTAAAAGAAAACCCAAAGTAGCCATTCCGTAGGGAATGGAAACTTTGTCTGCCTATAAGACTTTTTTTTTTTTTAAGTTTTTTTTTTTTTTTGGTGGGGGGTACCAGGGATTGAATTCAGGGGCACTTGACCACTGACCTACATCCTTATCCCTATTTTGTATTTTATTAGAGTCTCATTGAGTTGCTTAGTGCCTCGCCAAATTGCTGAAGTTGGCTTTGAACTTGCGATCCTCCTGCCTCTGCCTCTTGAGCCGCTGGGTGTGTGTGTGTGTGCCACCACACTAAGGTGAATTTTGAGAAATACATCT